TAAAAAAAAAAAAAAAAAAAAAAAAAAAAAAAAAAAAAAAAAAAAAAAAAAAAAAAAAAAAAAAAAAAAAAAAAAAAAAAAAAAAAAAAAGTGTGGAAGGCTATGGTCTAGATCTAGAAGACAGATTTTGGAAAATATTGCAACCATACCATTCTCAATGCATTCTTCTTCGCATTCCGATTTCGTGCCGAAATTGTTGTCATTGGCACCACATCCACTGTACAAGAAAGGTTGGCATTCTTGCGCTTCTTGGTTGAAGTAAAACCTGCCGATGGCTGCTCTGCAGTTTCCGACGGATCGTGGTTGGCTGCACTTCTCTTCGCAACGAACTTCCTCTCCAGATTGTCTGAATAAAAGCAGTGCTTCTTTTTTAAACTATATTCTACATAAATACGTTAATCCGAAGGCAAGCCCACTTTTCTACCGCGGAAAGTTTTAGCAAAGCTCAAAATGACGCATAGCCGAAAAGCATGAGTACGCACAGCACTTTTTAGAAATAGTTCCAAAGAATGCTGCGATTGATCATGTACGGAAAATTTAACGATAAAATGTGTCGTCCCCCTTTTATCATTGATAGACGATATTTTTTCTGCTTTTCATTCCTCTCTGATTTCTCTTGCCTTTTCTAAAGGACGCCCGGACACACTTTTCGACTCGCAAAGTAAATAAGGAAATCAAATTAAATCTTGCGTCAAAAAATAAGTGACAGTTAGTTATACTCACAAAACGAAGCGGATGCGGCATTCGTTGCAAGGGTCAGCAACACAAATGGCGTCTGGGTGAGCAGGGCATCGCACCCTGAGGCATTCCTGATGGCACACCTTCGGCTCGCTGCCTCCATTCGGGCAAACTGGGCCAAGTGACTCTCGCTTGATTATGCGTCCTGAAATAGGGTGCAAATGCTCATTCATCCCTTATTATAGCTCAATTAAGATGGGCACACGACAATAAGGTGAAAGAAAAGTAACCCTTGTGAAGTAAACGTTTCAAGTGATGATGTTACGTAGCAAGAACCTTAAAGCAGCTTCCTATTCATCTCCCAATTATTTTCCCCTACTTTGAGCAACTTCGTGATATTAGAATCCTCAGGCTAGGATAAACGTCAAAAATCAAGATTAAGACCAGAAAAAGAAGGATACTGAGAAGCTCACAAAGGTTATTAGTTTGTTCAGTATGTTCGCTAGTCTCAAGTCCTCCAATCATAAAAAACAAGCCATCTCGTACTGCGCAAGCATATTTTCTGTGAATTGCGTAATGTATATACTGTACTGTATATCTGTGTGTGAGGGTTCTCAAGAACGACGAGAAATTGAACTCAGCTGAAAGGAATCTCAATCAAGAAAGAAATTGAACTTACGCAACAGCACTTCAATCAGCAAAAAAAAAGGCCTCAATAATCCCGCAAGAAAGTTAGCGAACCACGTATAAATAAATTTCAGTCACTTCGAGACATCATTACTTCCGGCTCAGGGTTTTGGTGGAGAAGAACGCAAAATATGAGTCGCAAGCCCATAGGAACCAAGCTTTTCTTAATGATTTATTTTCTCCATATCGATCAGTTGAATCATATATGCTGGTAAGAGAGTGAAATAATACATCACAACTCGGAAAAAAGTGGTAAATTGTCCATGAATTATATTTTGAAACAGGAAAAGGAAGTGAACGCCTTGAATATTTTCCTCACCTTGTCTATCACACTGGACATAACCACGAGTCATCGTCCTATGCAATGGATAACCTTCCGAATCGACGCACCAACTCAGTTCTCCTTGCCGTTGTGTTGGTATGTAATATCCGTCTCTGTCGCATTGTGGTGGCGTGACGAGCATGATCGGACTCACTTTCACCGAAACTGTGGTAAGAAAGAAACATGTTTTCCATATCCTCAAGCATTCATTCTTAAATTAGAGAATACCTTTAGGATTCATGCACTTCATGCCACAGCCAGTGAAGCAGCATTTTGAATGTCCCGGGCAATCCGGGTCGAACTCGCAATCCTGCGACGGAATGCATTTCAGAAAATTTGAATCAGATGTCACTCTTGGGCAGGATCCTGGCTTGATCGTGACGTTCACTTCGGTTGTAGCGTCCAAATCCGGTGGCTGGCACTGAAGTCCACAGTTGCTCGCGCAGCATTTTTGTCTGGTAATGCGAAAGAAAACCCTGATTTCCGAAAAAAAAAGTTTTGGAGAATATTTTGAATTACATGTAAGGACAGTCGGCGTCGGAGGCACATCGATCGGGACATTGATCAGCGGAATTGTTGGCTAGTGAATCTGATGCCACGTTGGGACACGCTCCAGGTTTCGCAGCCGGGCGCACAACAGATACCGACATCTGACTTTCCACTGCCTCGAGGTCCTCTGAAAAATTTTAAAGCAACATTTCATATTAAGATTATCAAATACTTGAGATGAGAATTCATTGATCACAGCGAAGGAGCGAAAAATCGGGAGCATCTGCCTAAAAATAAACCGAATCGAATCGATGAAATGAAACTTAAAACATGGCCGTTCTAATTTTCTACAGATGCATATGGTTTGCAAACGGTGCATCGTGAAGATCAGACTTTCAGGTGTCTTATAAATCTGGGTCGAAACAAGGGCAAATGAGGTGCATTAAAAAAGCAGGGACTGTCCGGAAAATATTCAATAGGAATTATTTCATTTAATTTTTTAAAAAGTTTCCATTCGACCGCCGAAACTCAATTTCCTCCTCAATCATCCCGCTTCATGCAGGGCTGTAAAAATGATATCGCACAACAGAAGAATAAAAAAAATATATATATATCGACCTACTGATAATTGTTACAGTACTTTAGACTAAATACCATTTTGTCTTCTTTAGGGCTAGCATTAAATACTTTACATGGCCGCTTTTTTATGGTTGCTCACTGAAAGTTACTTAGCTAAGCTTGGGTGCATTTATTCAACCCGATATTTTAATGTGGATATGCAGGATTTCACTTTCTAGAGAAATGAACAAGCTTTATTTTGGCAGCTTCGTAACTATTTCATCTTCATTTTTTTACAAAGCTGTTGTGATTTGAATCTGATGTATGCCAGCGCTCACGCGTGATGAACTGGTTATTCGTGCATTATCTTTGATCTGATTTTCCTTCATACCTTTTACCTTTGCTACAACGGAATACTTCCGTCTTCGACGATGTTTGTCAACAGCATCATCCGAGATCGACGAGCGGAACATTGAGGTATTCCTCTCGTCATCGTGCCCTTGACGGGTTTCCCTTCCGTGTCGACACACCAGCACAAACCCAGTTCGTCCATACACTGCACTTGATTCCAGTCACCGGTTTTTTCATCACAATTCGGAATAAACATGGATTTTTTGTACTTTATGGATGCGTCCTTGTTCGCTTCTTTCATTTTTTCGCATTTTGTCAGCACTGAAAAAATAAAAGTCGTCAGATTAATAAAAAAAAATATATATGGGAGGGTCATGTTCCCTTCATTTCCCACCAATTCTTTCTGAAGTTTTCAGCAGAATTCGCCTGAATCAGGAACCTGAGATATTTTCGGGCGGAAAAACGCGGAAATAACCTGGCCTTACTTGACCTAATTTAAACCCTCCCGAAATAACTTGGCCGAACATAGCTTATACAACTATACGCCACATAAAATTCTACTACACTCAGGCGAAATCTGAAACAAAATTTCGAAATTTTGGCTCTATTTCACTTTTCAATCCCCCTTCTAGAAGCAGCTTATGAATGGTCCCGTTCAGAAAGCTGTTAGACGGAGCGAGAGTTTGACTAAGTCCAAAGGTGGCTCAGGACACATGCATTTGAATAGCGACTTGTTTGCCACAGGGTTGAAGAACCATTTCTCCTCTTGCTGTTTTCCCTTGCCAGCTTCGACATCCATGAAGCAAGTCTCACCTGCGAAATCAAAACGGTGATGAAGAATCTGCAGGGTTTCAGTCGATATTTTTTTTTATCTTACGTGGTTTGGGACAGCAAACAGCGTACTCGCCCAGTGGACTCAGATGGCATTTATGCGAAGACGGGCACTGGCCAGCTAGTGGTCCACAGGAGACGAATTGGCCGTTATCGGGATCAATTAGCGGGTCGCCACCGACACACGGATTCCGTAATTTCGGGAGACACATAGGGATGGAAGGACCTGTGACGAGAAATTATTGCGAAACTTTTCAAACCCAGATCCGCGAACTGATAGGCATTCAATATATTTACAGGGTTCGGTGATACAGTTGACTTGGACGAGACGACACTCCTCCGCGTATTGATTGCAGCTCAAGGTACTGCAGGGATCGAAGCAGCGACATGTGGGGCAACCCAACTCATCGAGGGCGAAACCCTGGTTGCAGGTGAGATTGCAATCCACCGCTGGGCACGGAGCTCGTACTTGAAAAT